AACCAGTGGAGTCTTAACTGGGGAAGAGGTTGAGACCAAGGAAAACCTTCTGCAAAATGGGTGGCTCCCCTCTTCACATGCACGACTGCCTAAGCCCAGCTCAGATGCTTTGCATGCACTCCAAGCATCGGGAGGGACTGAAGAGGGGCACATACAGCCTTTGGGGGTCCCCATGTTGGGTTCCATGTGGTGGGAAGCCATTTGAAATGGGGAGTCGTGCATCAGGAGGTACTGATAGATGGAACCTCTTCATAGGGCAAGCAGGGGAATTAGCTCAAGTGGTAGAGCGCTCGCTTAGCATGCGAGAGGTAGTGGGATCGATGCCCACATTCTCCAGCCCTGGACAGCCTTTTCTGCTGCCTTCTTTTGCTGACCAGAGCCATGGGGAACAGGATCTGCCCTGGCAGCCACCTCTAGAGTCTTCCTTCTTCTCTGGATGATGTGAACCCCTTTCCACCAGCAGCGGGGAATTAGGTCAAGCAGTAGAGCGCTTGCTTAGCATGTGAGCCACAGTGGGACTGAGTCCCACATTCTACAGCAACAGCACCCTGACTGCACAATAAGGGCAGCTGGGCATTGGCCTTCTGGGCCACATGCAAAGTCTCGCCTTTTGCCTCCAACCTAGGATGACATGTGCCAACAGGGTAAAGTAACAGGGGAATTGGGGGAGGGGTCCTTTGACCAAGCATTGAACACGGGGAGCCATTCGAGGGGAGGTCCTGATTAGAGATGTAAAATTTCCGGAAATTTTGAAGCTTGGAAAAAAACCTGGGTTTTTTCCAGTTTTTTTGGGGGGGAACGGAAATTTTCTGAAAAATTGAAAAAAATGCTACATTAGCATTTCTTTTGTCTTTTCTAGATTGAAAGTCATTCTGTTACTTTAGGAACATAAAATATGACTATGGACATTTTTACTTGGCATGAAATTATCACAACTAGCATATTAAAAATATAGTGTACCCAAACAATTATTACAAACAGAATACCCACCCACATGCAAAAACAAAACTGAAACCTCTTTATTTTCTTCTGACAATAGCACCTCCTAAAGGAAGAAATGCATCTTGTTCTTGCATTGGAGAGTTCAGTTTGTAACCTAGGACTTACTTGTCCTCAGTGCACAGAAATTAGATCAATCTGATACGATATATATATATATTTAGAAATGATTTGGAAAATATTTGAACACCTTGTCTTAAAATATTTTATTCATTATGTTAAAATAAAACATTCCATAATCAATTTTTTTTCTTTTTTCAATTTTTCTGAAAAAAACCCAAAAAAGGCTTCAGGGAAAAAACGGGGAAAAACTGTCTTTCCCCGAATTTTCCCGGTTTTTTTCCGGGCCTTCACATCTCTAGTCCTGATGCTCAGTGCCTCTTCCCAGACCAGGCAAGGGAATTAGCTCAAGTGGTAGAGTGCTGGCTTAGCATGCGAGAGGTAGCAGGATCAATGCCTGCATTCTCCAGCACTTGCTGTCTCCTTTTGCTGTCTAAAGCCACAGGGAGTGAGGCTTGGCTTGGCCCTGTACACTAGCAACCACCCCTTGGAGCCTCTGTCCTTGTCAAGGTGATGTGACCCCCTTCTTGCCAGTGATGAGGAATTAGCTCGAACGGTAGAGTGCTCACTCGGCATGCAAGAGGTAGAAGGATTGATTCCTGCATTCTCTAGCACTGGACAGCCCTGCCTGCTGCTGGATAGAGTAAATGCCTAAAATAGTTTTTTTATTTGATTTCCTGGCCAGAGACATAAGCAGCAGGATCTGCTGTGGCCCCATGACCTGGCATCCATCCCTTCTCAGTGACAGAAAATCCTTCTCATCGGCAGTGGGGAATTAGCACAAGTGGTAGAGTGCTCACTTAGAATTAGCTCAAATGGTAGAGTGCTCACTCAGCATGTGAGAGGTAGAAGGATCGATTCCTGCATTCTCTAGCACTGGCCTGCTGCCTTCTTTTGGTGGATAAATGCCTAAAATAGTTTTTTTATTTGATTTCCTGGCCAGAGACATAAGCAGCAGGATCTGCTGTGGCCCCATGACCTGGCATCCATCCCTTCTCAGTGACAGAAAATCCTTCTCATCGGCAGTGGGGAATTAGCACAAGTGGTAGAGTGCTCACTTAGCATGCAAGAGGTAGCAGGATCAATGCCCATATTCTCCAGCACTGGAGAGTCCTGTCTGCTACATCCTTTTGGTGACCAGAGCCAGGGTCAGAGAGGCAACCTACTGATCCTTTACTCTTTTTGAAGAACTACTGCAAGACGAACAGATCCCCCTGATGAAGCCTGTTGGCAAAACACGTAGGGAATTTTTTTGAAATTTAACTGACTAATAAGATACATTTTTACCTGATTTTGCACCATCGGCCTTGGCCTTATTTTTTAATCTCCTTTGACTGGTGTGGCTCTTTATTTTCTTGTTACAATGATGATATGAACCATTTTTTACCAGCACCGGGGAATTAGCTCAAATGGTAGAGTGCTCGCTTAGCATGCAAGAGGGAGTGGGATCGATGCCCACATTCTCCAACAAAAGTACCCTGACCATAGTGAGGGCGGATGTGGCCTTTTGGGTCACATGTAGGGTCTTCCCTTTTCCCTCCAACCCAGGGTGACATATGACAGCAGGGTAGAGTAACAGGTAAATTAGGAAAGCTTGCTTTAACCAGTCATTAAAAACTGGGAGCCATTTGAGGGGCAACCCTGATGTATCGCCCCTTTTCCCACATCAGGCTGGAGAAATAGCTCAAGTGACAGAGTGCTTGCTTGGCACACGAGAGGTACCACCATTGATAGCCGCACTCTCCAGCAAGGGCACCAGTGCCACGGAGTGTTGGCAGCTTTGCACTGACTTTCTGAATCTCATTTAGGGTGGAAGGGTGCTCACTTTGTATGCAAGACTCAACAAGCTCAACTTCCGTATTCTCCAAGGCACCCCCCCTTTTGTCTAGGGTGCTTTGATTTGACCAAGCATTAAAAACCAGGAGCCATTCAAGGGGAGGTCCCGATGCTCAGTGCCTCTTCCCAGACCAGGCAGGGAAATTAGCTCAAGTGGTAGAGTGCTCGCTTAGCATGCGAGAGGTAGTGGGATCGATGCTTGCATTCTCCAGCACTGGACAGCTGCCTCCTTTTGCTGGCCACAGCCATGGCGAACTACACTGGCTCTGGCCCCATGCCCTGGCAACCACCCCTTCTCAGGATGATATGAACCTCTTAGCATCAGCAGTGGGGAATTAGCTCACGTGGTAAAGGTGCTTGCTTAGCACATGAAGGGTAATGGGATTGATGCAGCAGCCATGCACTGGCTTTTGGGGACTTGTTTAGGGTGGAAGGGAGAGTTCGCTTTGTATGTTAACAGGCAACTACCTCAACTCCTTTATCTTACAGGGCTTCCCCCCCTTTTTTCCCCCTAGGAAGCCTTACTTTGCCAAGCATTAAAACTGGGAGCCATTTGGGGAGCAGTCCTGATGCATAGTGCTTCCTCACAGACTAGGCAGGGGAAGAAGCACAAATGATAAAAGTACTTGCTTAGCATGCAAGATGCAGTGGGATCCATGCCTGCATTGTCCAGCACTGCGCAGCCCTGTCTGCATGGTAAGTTCATGCTCTTCCCTTTGAACTAATTCCCATGTAGGGATCACAGGAACAAAAACAGTGCATGGTCATCTTCTGTAGTCCTTCTTGTGGCTTACAGCATCAGTGTTGTTTGTCTAGACTGGTGCCATTCTGTCTTGGTACAAGATCCCATACATCTTTTGCCAAGCAACATGCATGTGATGGTGTACAGCTGACAGGTCATTCTGGCAGGGGAGTTTTTAAGAAAAAACAGATAAAGCCCTCATTTTAAAGCTTGAGAAACCTATGGCAGGCACTGGGATACCGGTTCAAAAAATTATTGAATATATCTGGAAAAGAACTGGGATGTGAAACAAAACTTAATATGTTTAGAGCAATATTAAGTCAAATGATGTTATCTTAAGATTGTAATGATAAGAAAATGATATAATTGATGATGTAAAGTAATGTGGAGTAGGGGGGGAAGCATTGCGGGAAGCCACTGGAGGGAGGGGAGGAAATGGGAATGGGGTAGACAATGGAATGGATGAAATGGTTTATTTCTATATGTTGAATTCCTAAGAAAAATAAAATTTGTTTACCAAAAAAAAAGAAACAAACGACTCACCACCAGCATCGCCTCACCAGTTTCATCACTGACGTTTGCCCAGCTGGAGCCGCCGCAGGGCCCAGGGCCGGGGGGGGCGGGGGGCGGTGAAGGGAGAGGGAGCCACGCCTGAACAGCCAGCCAGAAGAAAGCTGCCACTTTCTCTGGGCCGGACCTGCCCTCCCACCCCCCACCGCCCCAAACCTCAAAGAAGAAGGAAAAAAGAACAACCCCTCAGCGATCCGGGAGTGCCACGCAAAGCTGCCTGGCAGCGTCAGCAGCAGCAGGACCGGTGGGGGTGAGGCGTCCCGGGCAAGGCGGCTGTCTGGGGAGCCACCTCCTTGTCTGTCTATGTCCATGTTGAGAGGGAGGGAGGCGGGGAAGCTCGGCAGGGTGCTTGCTGGTGGCCAGTCGCCGAGGGAGGCAGAGAGAGAGCGCCCCGGCGTGCCCGCAAGACCTGAGGGCTTGTCCGCGGTGTGAGAGCTGTCCCTGGTGTTGGCAATGGTGCTCTCCTCCTCCTTCGGTCGCAGCCGGGTCTGCCTTAGGAATCCCACCAATTAAATCCCCCAGGCCCCCTCCCCAAAAACTCCTTAGCTACGGGACTGAGAAGAATTAATCACATTCAGACAACAAAGTAACAATAGCAGCTGATCCAATCTCAGGTGTGTTTTTAATTCCTTTGCTGACAGTCTTGATATGAGATGGTGAGAAAGATGATACAATTGTATGTGGGAGAACAGTGACAAGGTACGCGTTCACCTCATTGTATGATGATGTCCCTGGTTTTCAGTTTTTGGAAAGGGAGACATTTATTTTATGAAAATCTCTCTTGTGTCCTTTCCCCCTGTGTGGATTCTCTGATGCCTTGTGAGATGAGCATTCCGAGTAAAACTTTTCCCGCATTCATGGCATTCATAAGGTTTCTCTCCAGTGTGGATTCTCTGGTGCTTGGTAAAACATGAGCTTTGGTGGAAGGTTTTTCCGCACTCCAGGCAGGCATATGGCTTCTCACCCATGTGGATTCTCTGATGGATATTAAAGTCTGAGATCCCACGATAGCTTTTCCCACAGACTGCACACGAATAAGGTTTCTCACCAGTATGAATTCTCTTATGAAGGACCAAGTGGGAGCTCTGAGTGAAGCACTCCCCACACTCCCAACAAATGTGCGGTTTCTCTGCTGTGTGAATCTGCTGATGCCTAATAAGGTGTGAGCTGACAAAAAAGCTTTTCTCACAGACCGTGCATTTGTAAGGTTTCTCACCTGTGTGACTCCTTTGATGAGTCACAAGGTTGGAGCTCGCGCTGAAGCCTTTTTCACAGACGGGACATTTATAGGGCTTTTCTCCCGTGTGGATTCTCTGATGAACAACAAGAGTTGAACTCTGAGAGAAGCTTTTCCCACACTCTGGGCATTTGTATGGTTTCTCTCCTGCATGGATCCTCCGATGCTGGACAAGGGCAGAGCCATCACTGAAGCATTTCGAACACACATGGCACACATAGGGCTTCTCTCCAGTGTGGGTTCTCCTATGTATGTTAAGGGGTGAGCACCGCTTGAAGCATTTGCCACAATCAGGGCACTTGTAGGATTTCCTCAGTTTGGGAACTTTCTTTTGTACTGACTTTTTACTGAGATCTATGGCGTTTTCCTCAAGGTGGTCAGATTTACGCTTCCTTTTCCTTGGCTGGGACGTCTGCTGAACTGCAGGCTTGTCTCCACTCTCACGGCATTCTTCCTGATCCAGACTTTGGGAAACATTTGTGTCATCTCTTTTGGGACACATTTCATGCAGAATCTCCTGGTCGGAACTCTCCTGAAGAGCAATCTCCTCCTCGTTCTCACTTGGCATCTTCAACCTATTGGAAAATGGGCAAATCCACACTTGAGATATACTCAAAATCAAATTTGGTCAATTTATCTAGCGTGAATTTATTTACATTATTTATAGTCCCGCTTTCCCACTGGAATTCAAGGCAGATTACTGGAGTAAGTCAATACAACCAACAGGATGGGACATTCAATAAACAATGCAATAGTGTATAGGTTGCAGAACCAACCAGAAGTCTAAAGCACAGAACTGAAGCAAAGCATAAGTGTTAATGTGATACACTGAATGATGAAAATTACACAATGGGACCCGACCCACAGCAAACTATATATCCTAGTACAGACCACAGTCCCAATAATTTATCCAAGTGATTTTGTTAAGCCTTTTGTACAGTGCTACCCTATTGCCTGTAGCAAACCCCTCTTGAAGAATTCAGTTTTGCATAGTTTGCGGAGGTTGATTCCCGGGAGGAGCAGGAATACCAGAAACAATCTACAGGCCATCTAGTCCAGGCCTACCCCATTTCCTGCCCCCTCCCGACTCCCGAGACACATGAAAAGGGCCTCAGCTGCATCTTTCCCGTTGGTAGCCCCCCCCCTTCAGCTCCCCCGTCCCCCCGCGACGGTAGCACAACTAGGGTTGCCATGTCTGGGTTAGAACATACCTGGAGACTTTGGGGGTGGATCCAGGAGAGGGTGAGGTTTGGGGAGGGGCCTCAGCAGGGTACAATGCCATAGAGTCCCCCCTTCAAAGCAGCCATTTTCTCCAGGGGAGCTGATCTCTGCCAGCTGGAGATGTTATAAAAGCGGGAGATCCCCAGGCTCCACCTGGAGGCTGGCAACCATACGCACAACCGGCCGAAGCCTCCTACCCGGGGACATGGAAAACGGGTGGTGGCCGGGAGGGCTCAAGGTCTCTCCGTCCTCCAAGCAACGACCCCTGCTGAGGAATGGGCGCTGCTCGACCCCAGCGGTCTCTAGCTTGGACTTCGATCGACGGCCTCTTTTAGCCACTCGAGTCGTGTCCCGTGCTGAGAACTTATTGAACGCCGCGCGGAGACAATGGGTCGCGTTTCCACCCACGAGTCTGTTCGGCCCCCTCTCCCCAGCGGCGGCTCCACCCACTCCAAGCTGCACCTTCTCCTCCCCGAACGTCCCTCCTCTTTTCCAGATCTGGGTGCTCTCTGTCGGTTTACCCCCTCCGGGAGTGGACAAAGAGCCGGCGTGGCTTGTATTGCCGCTTCTGGCCGCTGCCCCATGTATAATCTGTGTGGTGCTTAAACGTTATTTACTTTATTATTTGGACTTTTAGGACGCCCTTCCCTGCATGCAGGGCTCAGGGCGGTTTACATCAGAACAGAACAATAAATAATCTAGATTAAGTTAGAAACCAGCAATAAAATACAGCACAGACAAAAAAAAACCAGGCTATTTCAAGGTGGTGAGACATTTCCACAAAAATTGCGACCTCCCGTGGCCTCCTGAGGGCAGGTGAGGGGGAGCGGGATACCCAAGAGTGCCAGGCTCCTTAAGTGTCAGAGTAGCATCTCTGGGAAATCTAGGTTCCACTTGTGCAATGGAAGCTTGCTGGGTGACTTGGGGCCAATCACACACTCTTAGTCTGACCTACCTCACAGGGTCGTTGTGAAGATAAAACGGAGGAGAGGATAATGATGTAAGCTAGTTTGGGTCCCCATTGGGATGAAAGGCAGGATATAAGTAATGTAAATAAATATTCTTTGTACACATGTTGAATAATTCTTACTATGTGTATGGGGGAAGGAGCAATTTAAATGTCCCACCCATTCATCCAGGTGGTGCCTTTTTGTACACCCACATGTACTAGGAGTCTGGCCACAGCACGTATCAAGAGTGGGTGCCACCCGCCTGCTTCTACTGCACGTGGTCACCCGAGACTACTCCAATACCCTTAACCACTGCATTACTCTTTCTTACTAACAAATGTAGGTGTGTTCATTGTAATGCACCTGTACATAATGCCACACTCTAATGCATTTGCATGTACTGTAAACATACACACACGGGTGCCAAGTAATGCACCGCCTGCCAAGGCTCATTTCGTAATAGATAGTGGGATGACTTTTTTGCTTTCTAGCAGATCTCTGAACTGAAGAACAAACATCTTCTTGGCTTTTAAAGAGGTGCAGGATCGGCTATTGCAAAGTAAATTGGTACAGCAGGCAGAGTACAGCCCACAACCAAATGTAACTGGGTAGGGGTGGATAAAGATGGGTAGCTGAGTTAGTCTGTATGAAGCAGCAGAAAAGAACAAGAGTCCAGTAGCACTTCAAATACTTTCTTAAATTTAATTAATTTGTGGCAGGGTATGAGCTTTCGTGAGTCACTGCTCACTTCTTACTTTGTTAGTCTTTAAGGTGCTACTAACTGGACTCTTGCTGTTTTCTACTGGGTAGGGGTGGGGGACTTGGGTCCTAGTGGCTGTAACGAGACCAGAAGTGTTACAAGTATGTCTGAATTTTTAAATCTGTGATATGTTGGAGAGTATGCACTGACCATCTATCTTGGATGGCACATGTTCCCTTACCTGAGAAAGTACAGGTGTGTGTGTGGGGGAACTAGAGCTGATTTTAAAATTTGATTTGTTGGATGGGTCAGTAGCGGCATGGTATAGCCTGATCTCATCAGATCTCCAAACTCTAAGCAGGGCTGGTACTTGAAAGGGAGACCAAACAAAGGCTCTGGCAGAGGAAGGCAGTGGCACACCCCCTTCGCTTCTCACTTAAGAACATAAGAAAAGCCAATGCTGGATCAGGCCAATGGCCCATTCAGTCCAACACTCTGTGTCACACAGTGGCCAAAAATACCAGGTGCCATCAGGAGGTTCACCAGTGGGGGCAGGACACTAGAAGCTCTCCCACTGTTGCCCACCCCCCCAAGCACCAAGAATACAGAGTATCACTTGCCCCCGCCTGAGAGTTCCTGTCTATACCTTTACGGCTAATAGCCACTGATGGACCTCTGCTCCATATGTTTATCTAATTCCCTCATGAAGCCGTCCATGCTTGTAGCCGCCGCCACCTCCCGTGGCAGTGAATTCCCACTCCAAGCTGCACCTTGTGTTGATCACCATGTGTTGATCACTCTTTGGGTGAAGAAGTACTTTTATCTGTTATCTGCCCACAAGTTCTTGTATTGTGAGAATGGGAGCAAAGTACTTCTTTCTCTACCTGCTCCATCCCATGCATAATCTTATAAACCTCAATCATGTCACCCCTCAGCTGTCATTTCTCCAAGCTAGAGAGCCCCAAACACTTTAACCTTCCTTCATAGGGAAAGTGTTCCAACCCTTTTCTGCACTTTTTCCAGTGCTATAACATCCTTTTTGAGGTGTTGTGACCAGAACTGTACACAGTATTCCAAATGAGGTTACACCATTGATTTATACAGGGGCATTATGATGCTGGCTGTTTTGTTTTCAATTCCCTTCCTAATAATCCCCAGCATAGCGTTGGCCTTTTTTGGTCAGTTTTGCCTGGAAAGCCCCTTGCTGGAGTAGCCATCAGTCAACTACAACTGAATAGCACTTACATGATTGAGTTATCACTGCTCTTTAACTGACTTGGCCTGTTTCCGGAAGAGCAGAAGGGGAGGATGTCTTACCCAATCTTCCAGTGAACTAGGGTATTGATCCCTAACGTGTTTCCGCGTACCCACTCGCTTCTTCTCCAAAGCAGACAGCCAATCCTGGATCTCCTCCACTTCCTTGGAGTAGGACGACATTCTGAGGAGACCAGAAGTCCTCACCCTTGGACCTGCAGGGTAGCATAACCTTTTGTATGGCAGCCATTTTGCTATCCTGCTCCCTATCCATTCTCACAATTCCAAAGATTGGGGGATGCCAGTTCATACAGCTGCCAGGGGCAAATCTCATATGTTTCTGTGTGTAGACTCCACTCCCACTTTGCATTAAACAGATGGGACCATATGCACAGAGCCCAATCCTTGCACCTCTTCTCTGGCCACTCGAGCTATCTTCTCACTCTCATTTGCCCTCCTTTGAAAAGGGAGGCTCTTCTTCCCTGTACCTTTAGGCCACTCCCATTTGCCTATCCTATTCATTTCTCACTTTTATATGTGACCTTTTAAAATTCACAACAGCACTTTGAGATAGGATAAGCTGCCTTGTAATTATGCTGTGATCCTCTTAGGAGTGGGGGTTATAACCAGGCCTATCTGGTTCCTGTACATTGTAACCATTATGCCCACCTTGGCTTTCTAGGATGTTTGGCTAATCCACAGATCAGGTTGCTCAAACCTGGCTCCACTCCCCTGCAATGTTCCCTCTAAGCTGTGGAGTCTTGTGAGCAAAAATTCTACTCTGTGAGCTACTGTCATTAAAGTTGTGAGCAAGCGATTTGGCTGCTACATAAATTAGTTTGCTCTGGAGCCCTCCTTCCTGAGCTAAGACAAAAATGTGTGAGCCAGAGGCTAAAAAACTGTGAGCTAGCTCACACTAACTCAGCTTAGAGGGAACACTCCTCCCCCCCCCCTCTGAGACAGAAGCCTGACATGCAGCAGTTCTAACAGGTGAAACCTTTTCCTGGCATAGAGATCACAGGATCAGAGAAAACTCCACTTGCTTGACGTTTGCATGTCAAGCTTCATTTAAAGGGAAAGGAGCAGTGCACGTTTTCAAAGGTGGCAGCCTTACCTAGAGAATGCCTCAATATCCCTATACCAGGACACAGGGACCTCCTGTAGCACCATAAAGAAGAATGTGCCATCGAGTTGCAACTGACTCATGGCAACCCCATCCACGGGGCATTCCAGGCAAGGAATGTTCACTGGAGGTTTGCCATTGCCTTCTTCTGAAGAACAGCCCCAGCCTTGATCAACTATCTCCCATCCAAGGGCTGACACACACAAACCCGGCCAAACCTGCTTAGCTCCCAAGCTCTGAGGAGCCCAGGCTAAGCTGGCCTACATTATTATTTCCCATGTTTCACACTTTTAGGTTGATTTTCCATATGCAACCACATGCCCCTCTGTCTGGCTTTGAGTTCTTTAAATATCTCATTTGTGTTTGTGTTCTTTCCATGCCCACACAGAGTTTTCCCAAGAACCCATATGAAGGTATTATTAACTGAGATGGAGGGAGTTTCCCCAATCCTGTGCAGTGGAGATTATGGCAGAGCAAAGAGTAGGATTTCCAGTTTGTAGGGGTGGGGAGGTCTAATCCTGTCCCTTTAACAGAGGTGTGCTCTCCAGAAATTAGGAGGTGAAACCTTTAATGAGCTGGCACTGAAGATTATCTGCCTGTCTGTAGCTCAGCCCGAAGTTAAAGGGGTGGCTACAGGGATCTGTTCAAAACACCCCCAAGAGGCATTTGAATCTTCATCATCCAGTAGCTTACCCACAACAGCCATTCTTTTTTGCTTTCCTTTAAGAGAGGACTGCAAAACAAATTAAGCAAAGTAAAAGGCTTTTTAAGGTGATCTGTCACTGTCTCCATCATTCTAACCCCACCCATCCAAGGAGGTCTATATAACTGATATTTTCCCCAAGCTGGCCCTCTTTTTTAAGAGTCTGAAAGGAAATAGATACAGTTAGAAATGAATGGTTATGTCAGAAGAAGTTTAATGATTTGAGTGGTGAGTGAGGGGGTTTGAATGGAAAGCATCTTTGAAGGGAGAGATTTTGGGG